AAAATATCTGAATTCCCTTCAGAAATAGGAAATAAAAAACAACTACAAAGGTTTCTTGGAATCTTAAATTATGTAGAAGGCTACATAGCTAATTTGGCAGCGATACGTAAGCCTTTACAAGCAAAATTAAAAAAGGATGTCATTTTTACTTGGTCATCAAGTGATACAACATATGTAGAAAAAAATAAAGAAGAAACTAAAAATTCTACCCACGTTATATCACCCTCAAGAAAATGATAAAATGATTTTAGAAACAGATGCCTCCGACTCTTACTGGAGCGCAGTTTTAAAAGCAAAACCAGAAGACTCTTCTGAAGAAAAATTGTGTAGATATACTTCAGGAACTTTTAAGGATGTTGAAAAGAATTACCATAGTAATGAAAAAGAATGGCTCGCAGTTTTACGGGGCATTCAAAAATTCAAAATATATCTTATCTCTAATAAGTTTTTAGTAAGAACTGATAATAAAAATTTCAGTTATTTTATTAAAAATGAATTTAAAGGAGATTATAAACAAGGCAGATTGATTAGGTGGCAATTACATCTAAAACACTATCAATTTGATGTTGAATATATAAAAGGTGATAAAAATTATCTTGCTGATTCTCTAACAAGGGAATTTGCAGGTATTTGATTAGAGAGACAAACACTTGAAAAGGATCAGCAAAAAATAGCAAAAACAAAAGCAAAAAGGACCAGAATGGATCTTCAAGTTGAAGAACTCAAATTGAAAATCATGCAAAAGGAGCATGAACTGGAAATCATAAAGCAGAAGTTGAAGATAGTACGGTTAAAAAATCAGACAGAGAAGGGAAGCCTCTCAGAGCCTAATAGTAAAAGCAAAGCCAAAACCGAATACAAAGACGCTTTGGTGAAAGAACAAAAGACCCAGTCAACTTTTGTCGAGGAAGAAAGGGCACCTAACTGGTACACGGTGCACACCGGACCGAAAATTGGAGTCTATAATAGCTTCGAGAAAATAAAAGACTTGCCACCTTCAAAAGCCACTTTAGTGGATGCTTTGAGAGTACCAGTATTTCGTAACACTGGTATTCCAAAAGAACACCATTTGAAAAATCCATTCATAAAATTTGATGAATTTAAAATACAACAACTGGATAGTAAGTTAATCAAAACTACTATAACTCAGAAAGAATGGCTCACGTTATACGAAGAGGTAAACGCGAGTACAAGTGAACAAGGATATATTCCTATTAGCAGAAATCAACAAATTAAAGCTATTCTGCTACCAGGAGTTACTCCTGAAATTACAAGAGACTTGTTCCGAGGAGGATTTATTGATACCCTCTACCCAGAGAACAGTTTAAGAGAATTGTCATATTTTCCAAAAATCAAACAGGCGATCGCTTTGTACATGGAAAAATGCAGAATTCGTGAAAATAACAAATCAATCTTTGTCAAGATCTGGAGTTCAATACCAGACTGGAACGAAGAAGAACAATTCCCAGCCTACCACTATATTCATGTTGGGGTGTCTGGAGAAGTGAAACCACCAGTACCACTTGTACAAGAAAAACCTTTATTGACAGAGGAAGAATTGAAATTAGAGAGAGCAGATAGAATTTATTTTATCTTAAAGACATTAGAAAACGGGGCGACATGGGGACGAAAAAAGGAAAGATCAAGCCAAACTAAAGTAAATTATTGTAGCCCAAATATTCTTTTGGTCAATAATTTCAACAAGAAAATTGACAAACAAGACTTGGCCATAGTCCAGAATTGGCAGGATAATATCATCCTTAAGATTCATGCTACTGAAGCAACAAAGCAAATGGTGCAGTCCATTGTTCTTACAGTCAATGAAGAAAAAGAAAAACACCAGAAGAAAAAGAAGAAGGTTGCCGACACTAACGACAAGAGGGAGGAAAAACATGTGGAGGACCCTACCACTTTGGAAAAAGGAGAAAATTCAAGCATGCCAGCTGCCACAGAAGACCTGCCAGCCATTGCCATGTGAAGACCCTACCACGATGTAATAATGTAGCAGATAAACTCATGAAGAGTTTCTGCTTTTTTGTCTTCTTTTTATTATCACCATGTAATAATGTAGCAGACCAACTCATGTGAAGTTTCTGCTTTTGCGTCTTCTTTTCATAATGCGTTTGGTGAGACGGCAACTTGTGCTGTACCCCAATAATTCACGCATTTCTAGTTGCTATATAAGGGGGTGCCATTAGAGTGTGTAAGGCATCAATCCCTCATTAGATTTCGAAATTTTATTCTCTGTAAACATTTAATATTCAATAAAAGTTATTCTTAAGCTACGAGCTTTATATCACAGAAACATTAAGTTTCAAACACTTAGAAGCTATTAAGCTTCAAGAAAAGATCAAACCAAAAGCTTAGGCTAAAATTCTCTGGATATTCCTGGAGACACAATCGCTCGTTGAAGTAAGACCCAGGAAGAAGGGCAGTAAGACGACTCGGAGCACAGTGTTTGGAATTTGAGGATAAAGCAGGAAGCTATGGTGGACCAATCATCTCAAGCACACTAAAAGAATTCAAAACCCAGAAGAAAGGTATGAACTCAGAAATTTTTAATAATGTTTTTAATAACATTGAAAATTGTATACAATTACCCATAAGGTTAGATAAATATGAAGAATTAAGAAGATTAGAAAATAATCTTTTAAAGTTTCTTAAACTCGAAATTTTAGAGAAACTAAAAATTCTAGAAAATGGTGTTCAACGACAAACTATTAGAAATAATAGACAAAGATCAAAAGATAACTATTACAATGATATTCATTCATCACTAGTAACTAGAGAAAAAGAGTTAGCTAAAATTATATCAAACTTAGAAAAACTCTGTATATAAAAAATATATAATGCCTGTTATTTCGTGGGAGTATATTTTAGAATCAACTATTCAAAAGTTGAAAACTAAGTATCGAACTTTGATTCGAACTTGCGATAAAAATCTGATTGCTTCAGATATCGAAAGAATGGCCTATAGCCTTCGACTCGTTCAAAACGAGAATCCATTACAACCCCAGAATTTAAGGTTTGTAAAAAATGGATTTATCATGGCAGAGTCTCATCTTTCTCAAGAGTATTATTCCTCATAACTTACAATGATGTTTTCATTTGAAGAATGCTTTAACTTTTAAAGATGAAAGAAGAGTTTGATATTATTAGTGAAAGATTAAATACTAGTCCCATAAGTTTAGATGCTTGTGGTAATATAAGAAAAAATGAAATGGATTTACTTGAAAAAGCTAGAGAGGATCTTTTAAAAGATTTAGAAAACCTTATATATGGAATTACACTCAAGAAAAATTATTATAAAAAGCATTCTACAAGAGATAATTACTATGGAGATTGTTTTCCAGAAATAGAAGGTCAAGTTAATTATCTGAAAAGTATAAAGAAAAAATTGAAACAACTAAGATTTAATATCTAAGAATTTCCGAAAAATTGATCATAAACCCGAAGTTATAAGCTGGAGCAGCAGTAAAACAAAATGAAACCTGAAGTTAAAAGCTGGAGCAGCAGCAAAACAAACAAAATGAAACCTGAAGTTAAAAGTTGGAGCAGTAGCAAAACAAAAATGGTATCAGAGCCTGGTAACAGGCGAAAATACTGAAATTTTAGATTAAAAGTCTATGGATAAAGAAAACAATCTTTTAGATTACTGCACAAAGCACGAAAAGTCAGGCTATTTAATTGAAGCCTTGATAGATGCAAATAAATTAGAATAGCAGATCATGATTTAAAAAAGAATCATAATTTCAGAAATGAAGGATTGATAAAGAAATTAAATAACTTAATTTCTAGAAAGAATGAAATTTTCTTTGGAATCATTTCTGGAGAAGAAGCAATAGATGCAGATCAAACAGAAGGAAATGTAGTTATTCCTGTTATCTGTAAAGAACAAATTCTTTCTACATTGAAAGATATAAAAACAGAAACTAGAAATAAAATCTCTTATTTACATGTTTCTACTATACAAATGATTCTTAAATCAACTTATAGTCTAGGAATAGATTCTCCTATCACAATAAGGCTAATTGATAATAGAATGATTAATTATTCTGATGCTCTAATAGCTGAAGGGAGTGGAAATCTAAAATTTGGTAAAATTAAGTTTAATTTAAATTACCAAGTTGGAATGTCTTTATTGGACAATAATTTAGATGATTCCATCACTTTGTGTTGGAACATGAAAAGAAAATTAATGAAAACTGGAAATCACCCATTTTCAGTAACATGGAGAATAAACTATGCACTAACTAACAGTCATCATAATTTGTCATTCAAACCTCATGATAAAATTGAAATTGATGAATTATTTTCACCAATATTACAACTAGAAGCACCTAGAAGGTCCTTTCAAGAACATAGAACTTCGTCTTTCGTAAGATCTAAAATAGACTACGTTATTCCTAAACAGAATAATGACGAAAACGAAGCAAGTTCTTCGAAAATAGATAATTGTACTGAAGCAATCGTAAAACCAAATAACAATATATATAAAATTGAACAAAAGGTTCAAGAGATAAGTAAAGAATTAGGACTTAAAATATAACAATAAAAGATATATAACGAACCTACCTTCGTTATATCATAAAGAAAAATGAAAGAACATTTGTTATATAATATAAGAGCATTTTTTACTCTTCATTTATCACAAAAGACAAAAGGGTCACTTAAATAAATATGACCTTTTTGACTGGGTCACTTAAATAAACATCCCATTCTTCTTCCCCTTCTTATTTTCTTCTCCAATCGGCAAGATCCTCCTCATCGTCTACGGGTGCACCCTTTGATGATATGCCGATTCTTCGATTTCTTCTCACCCCTCATAGAAACGCCACACCAAAATTACACACAACGCATCACACAATTGATTTCAATCAATTCCATCACTCAAACGCTTCAATTTCAAATCCTGATTGACGAACTATTCGAAAAAGAGATGGCCCAGAGAGTTGTCCTGAGAAGTAGCGCGTGGAGTGGGTCTCGGCTCTGAGCGAGCGATGGCATGTGAAGGTTCGACCTGTGGCCTATGGCCCGTGGCCCGTGGCCCGATTCGGTGTGGTCTAGAATTGAATTGGATCATTCTTTGCTTTATATTAATACAACTAATGAATATAAGAATAGATTGGAATTTGGAGGCTTCCAATTTAGCGAATTGGAGGCCTGGGAGAAACCGACATTTGAGACATACTACTTTCATGGCTTGTCCGATGGCTGCGACAATCTCCGATGGTATTTTTTTTTTTTTTT